TAAAGAGTGTTGGGAGATTAGGAAAACCTGTTGTTTCGCTCTTCATCCCTCACAACCATCATAGCCTTGACTCTTACAATCACTGATGTGCTAGAGACAGATTGCACCAATTCACAAAGCTGTTTAGGAACTCGGTGAGTAGAACCATTCTTAGAACTTTAGTTATACATACTTCAGCAGAGTAAACAATAAAGGCAAAAAGTAAAAAGCCCCTCTTCCTATTTAACAGCTCTGTATTATTCTCTGTATGCTCGGGTTATTTACATCTATTTTATCTGGATGCGAGGGGACAGCATGCTACTTGCACTTCTCTTTGGATTTTGGAGGCCAGATTTACACTTGATCTTAGCCAAAAGGCTGTAAAGTGACAAGGAGGCCAGGTTTAGATACGCTGTCTCAGCTCATTTATTCAGTAATCTGAGGAGCCGCCAGCTTTGAGTGCAGCATGCAGCACGAGAAGGCATCCAAGCCCTCTAAGCCTGGGGAGCCAGTGTGCTTGAAGCACCCATGACAGGCTGGATGGATTCGAGAAGTCCAGAAAGAGTCCTAGCACAGGCCCTCGGAGTTCTGCAGCAGAGCCACAAACCCAGTGGCATAAAATTGTTCCCTTGGACTCTTGCTGGGTACTAGTAAACACAGCAGGCTGACCATGAGACAGTACGTAGCCATGTGACAGCTGCCCATCTTTAACTGGAGGTCATTTGATCCACCAAGCCCCGATGTCAGCTAACATTTAATGGGTGTGTATGATGTGTCATGCTCTGTACTAAGCCCTTGTAATGTTTCCCTAAACCTCACCACATTGCTGAGAGCTAGAACTGTTATTATTGAGATCATTCCTATTTTAGAGGAGACCAAAGCAGTCAGGATAAGTAATTTGCCCATGACCATTTGGCTAGTAAATGTCAGAGCTTGGTTAGAACCCAGGTCCCCTGCTACAAGGTACCACATCAAATTACCAAATTGTATTGCTTCTCCTGGTCTACTGGAAGAATTCTATATAGGATTGGGCTTGAGCAGAGATTAAAGACACAGTAAATTACGTAGTGTGCCACTGCAGATGTTAATGTTGGCTCCCCCGGGAGCTGTTGTGAGTTACCCAATGTGGTTGTTGGGAACTGAGCTCAGGTCCTCTGGAAGGGCAGTTGATGACACTTTTAACCACTGAGCTATCTCTCCACCAGGATGGGATGGTGACTTTGTAAGGGGACAGACCTGAGCTATGCCAGTTTGAGATTCTGCACAGACTCGACTACCAAGCAGGGCCTAATCAGATGTATGACATAATTTGGAACTTCACAACCTTCAGACCATGACCTGAACAAACCTTTATTCTTTAAAAATTATCCAATCTGTGGGGTTGGAGAGGTGGCTCAGCAGTTAAGGGCACTGGTTGCTCTTGCAGAGGGCCCATGTTTAGTTCCTAGCACCCAGATGGCAGCTAACAAACCATCCATAACTCTAGTTTTTAGGAAATCTTGTGCCCTCTTCTGGACTCTGTGGGCATTGCATGACATGGATGCACTACTTACTTCCCTTGTACACAACCCAAGTTCAGTCCCTAGCACCCATGTCAGGAGGCTCACAACTGCCTATAACTCCAGTTCCAGGGGATCTGACACCTCTTCTGGCCCCTCTAGGCACCTGCACTCGTGTGCACATACCCACACACAGACATACACACATACACATAATTAAAAATAAAAAGAAATCTTTAAAAATGAAATGCAGCATTGACTTGCCCTCTATATTTCAGCCACTTGTTTCCTCTGGGCACTCCAGTACTGCTCAATAATTCATGACCTAAGTGGGCACCTTAGCAGAAACACAGACAGTATGTGGGTTCAGGAACTTGAATTTCCCCTCATCTCTGATTTGGCTGAGGGGAAATTCTTTGAGTGTTTAGTTGTATGGCAATTGAAACCACTCCTAAGACCCTGATATATGCTAGACTTGAGGGTAGCAAAGCCAGGAACAATGTGCCCGGGGGGGGGGAGGGGATGGATTCTCTCTAGAGCAGCACAGCCAGCTCATCCATCACCTGCATGCCAGCATCTAAGACCTGGATGCCAAACTCTGACCCCTGGTAGAACTAAGCGATTCCTCCACTGGTTTGCAGCAGACTAGCCTTCTGGTGTCCCCAGAGGGTTTCCAAATATGTGAGGTTAATTGATGAACAGAGCCATTAAGGTGTTTGGGCAATGCGATCTTCAGATTTCTATCCTGTACTGTGGGGAAGAAAACCAGACGGGGTCAGATGGATTGAAGAGCAAAGTAGTTTTCAGAAAGAAGCAGTAAGTTATCTTTTTTGGAAGAGCAACTTATTCTGGGTTTAGATTTGCTGATCTTGCTTAACAGACATCCGCCCACACCAACATTTATAGCCTTACTGAATGCTTACTCACTGCCGTGGTATTCCTTTCAGTATTGGTTCTCACAAAGAAACCAGTTTGCTGCTTCATCATCATCATCATCATCATCATCATCATCATCTGGCAATTTGAAACAGAACACGGTCTCACATTTTAGCCCAGCCTGGCTATCCTCGTACCTCAGGTTCTAGAGTGCTGGGTTATAGGTATGAACCACCATAATCAGCGCAGAAACTGATTTTATACTTAAAATGATAAAGCAATGGGCAGCACTCTTCCACTTGAAATTGTTTGGCCTCGTAGATGTTATAGTCCAGATTCAAGGCTCCAACTGGGAAACGATGTTTTTCAAACTAGCAGTACCATTGGCCCTCCATATCTGTAGGCTCTCTTCCTCCCACTCAATGAGCTATGGACTGAAAATATTCAAACAATTTTGTTCTCGTTGAACATTTACGGACTGATTTTTCTTCTCATTATTTCCTAAACAACACAGTATAACAACTGTTTCATAATTTTTGCATTGTAGTAAGTATTAAAGTAATATATGATGCTGGAGAGATGGCTCAGTGGTTAAGAGCACTGACTGCTCTTGCAGAGGACCTGAGTTTAATTCCCAGCACCCACATAGTGGTTAGCAACCATCCAAAACTCCAGTTCCAGAGAATCTGATGTCCTCTTCTGACCTCTGCAGGCATTGTACAACATGGGGTGCACTTACATGCATGCGGGCAACACACTCATACATAGAAAGTAAAAAAAATAAAAAATATTTTTTAAAAGTCATATAAAGATGACTCAAAATATAAGGTAGGGCATGCATAGACTATATGCAAATATGTATCATTTCGTATAAAGAACTTGAGCATCGTCAGATTTCGGGGGATCCTGGAACCAGTACCACACAGACACTGAGCTACGACTGTGTTTACACTGAATTGTTGCCAGTGCTTTCTCGGTAGCCGGGTACACAGGTGAATACAAGAGATGGCAACGGGAGGAGCTACCTTAATGCCCATTAGAAAAATTGTTCCTCAACCCCAGAAATGAGCTGTTGAGATAAGAACTTGAGAGAGGACTTAGATCAGTAGAAAATAATAGTAGTTCGACTGACTTAGAGGCTGCAGCTGCCACCTGGTTGGTGGGACTCCTCACGTTGCCTGAAGAACTGGAAAGGGTTCTCTGTTGTCAGGAGGGAAGAGACATCACAAAGGAGAAAAACTTGATTGACAAGAGAGTCAGGGAAGTCAGAAGAGCCCTTGGAGTTCTACCATGCCTAGAGACAAATGTCCTAGTGCGAGGCTCACCAAGGCTCAGATCCTTTGTGAATAAGGGTTTAGGCCGCTCGCCTGAATAAGCAATTTCTAGCAGCTTAAGTAGCAGGCTACTGAGCAAACGTGCTATGAGACATGGACGAGGGAAATTGTGCAGAAGTGACGGCCTCCTTATCAGTCATACACGTTTTCTTACGTGTACACTGCACTTTTCAAAAAGTTTTCTCTTTTCTTGTCTCTTTCCCAACTAAAGGTATGTTACGGATAACCACATTTACAACATAGTTCCATATGTGATTGTTGAGATGGGTGTGAGAGGGCCAGGGGGCCAGGGAAGATAGCTCAGTTTGTAAAGGGCTTACTGTGCAAACATGAGATCCTAAGTTTAGTTCCCAGCACCACATAAAAAGCCATGGTAGCGGCTGGGCTTGGTGTCCAGGCCTTTAATCCTAACCCTTGGGAGGCAGAGGCAGAGGCAGAGGCGTAGGCATAGCTCAGTGAGTTTGAGGCCAGCCTGATCTACACAGCAACTTCCAAGCCAGTCCAGCCAGGGCTATACAATGAGACCCTGTCCAAAAACAGAAAAGAAAAGAAAAAGAAAGAAAGACAAGCCAAAGCACATGTGCTTGTAATCCCACTGTTGAGGAGGCAGAGACAGGTAGATCCTTGGGGCTCCCTGGTCAGCCAGCCTGAGTTAATGAGCCCCAGGTCCAAGTGAAAGAGCCTGTCTCAAAAAAACAAGGTGGTGGTGCACTGTGGTATAGGGCGAACATAGCCACTTTCCAAAAAAAAAAGAATGGCTCATGAAGAATGAGACTTAAGATTGACCTCTGGCCTCCAGATGCACCCACAGCCCCCCACCACACAATACACAAACACATGCACACACAAACACACACATGCATAAACTATGTACAAAAATAATAATTTTAAAAGTAATAAAATATATATGTTGCCTTGATTTTTCTTTAAACTTTTTGACCTTGTATGGTAGATACACATTATCAAGATCCATACCTAAAAGGGGGATCTCAGTTAGCTTAACTGAAAATGAAAGAAAATAATACTGTGGAGAAAAAAGAAAAAAGGTACTCATTCAAAGACAGGAAAAGTAATAACCTGGGAGAATACAACAGAATAATTTTGCCTCTACTTAATAATGATTTTATTTTTACAAATTAATATACCTATGTAATTTCATAACACAAACTGTGAGAAGGCTATACATGAGTATTGATCCCATAGTTGATAAAAATACAAAAATTAAGACAGACATGTTGATTCACAACTGTAATCCAAGCACTTGGGAGGCTAGAAATACTAGTTAGAGGCCAGCCTGGGCTACATAGCAAGACTCTGACTCAAAAAAATAAAATAAAAACAAACAAACAAGAACTCAAAACAGGTCAAGCACTGTGGTGGAGAATGCCTTTAATCCCAGAACTCAGAAAGCAGAGGCAGGTAGAGCTCTGTGAGTTTTCAAACTGTAGGTCAACCTCGTCTACACAATGAGTTTCAGGTCAACCAGGGCTAAAGGGAGACCCTGTCTCAAAACAAACAAACAAACAACAAAATATTAACTAACGCGTAAAGCCATTGAGAAACATAAGTATTAGATCTGACATTTATGGATATTGACAAGTGGAAGGTTACACAGTGGGGCACTTTTCATATTCTACTTCATGTTTAAAATAAGGGCGAATAGTCAAGTATGTAGTCAGTAAAATCTGTCTAATCTTCTTCCCAAGATTCTTCTATGCTTGTGTGGGATTCTGGGGAGTCTTACTATACCAAGATTTACCTTTCTTCTTTGCATACATCTTCTCAAAGAACTAAAGAAAAAAAATAAGAGAAGCTTTATTAGATTTATTAGAACACTGCATAGTCCTTCTCTTACCCTAACCCAAAAATCTCACTCTGACCTATTTCCTTACACTACACAAAATTGTAGTTGATAATTTGACCATGACAGACGTTGGTCTTCAGAAGGTGGCTGTCCAGCATCAGAAATACTCTGACTGAATTCATACTTGTTCTGAGCCCAAGTCTGGCTCAGTCCAGCTCAGCACAGGCTCATGCTGTTAAAGGCCTGGGATTCATCTGTGTAGCTATGGCAAGTGCATAAAGTAGATAACCCAGTAGCAGACACTGGTAAATGTACATAAGTACATGTGTTCATATGACATCTGTGACTATATAATTACAGTATACACACATTATGGGTTAAAAACAATGAATATTCACATATAAGTTTAAGTGACAATATATAAATATATACACACACATATATGTGTTATGTGTGTATACATATGTATTTAATTTGCACTCACTTTTCTGTACTTATTTTTTCACTTTCTTGAGACAAAGTCTCACACTGTAGCCCAGGCTGGCCTTGAACTCATGGTAATCTTCCTGCCTCAGTGTCTCAAGTGCTGGGATTATAACTGTGTGCCACCATACCTGATTTCATTTACTACAATGGATTCCTTCTTTTAGATGAAATTTTATCAAGAAGATGGAGACTATAGGATATAGTAAAGGGACAAAATAGTACAGGAGTTTGAGTGACAGATATTCTCAAAGTCTCGGTTGGGTCCAGGGACACCATCTCTCCTTCTGTCCAAAACAACTGTATTCATCAACGGAATGAATTAAACCAATAGGGGACAAACTAAAATGGAAAAGGCAAGCTTTAAGACTAAAAATATTAAGGTAGAAATACATAATATGAGCTGGGAAGATGGTTCAGCAGGTAAGAATGCTTACTATGTAAGCATTGAGGACCTGAGTTTGAATCTCTAGCATTCATATAAAAAGCCAGGCATGGCCCAGCGTGCTCATAGCCCCAGCACTGGGGAAGCAGAAACAAGCTAATCCTAGGTGCAGCATTTCAAATCCAAAATTAATGCTACACAATAAAAAAGATAGCCTGACTCTTAACATTCATTTTAAAGTCAAAAGTGGACCTTAACTTCTAAAAACCTGTTCCTTCAGATTTCTCTCAGAACTGTGTTCCCCAGCAAAAGCTCTGCTAATTCTTTATTAAAACAGTATCTCCAGCATGAAATGGGGAAATAAAAGTCTGACTCACCCTTATCTTATCAGAGAAGAATTTTGCTCTTTGATCCCTAGATCTAGAATACCACACACACACAACTACAAATGATTCTCAATTTCTCTCATCATTTGCAAGGAGAAAAACACTGTTTGCAACACTTTAATGCTTTGATATGTAAAATACGCACACACACATTCACATACTATCTTGGGTGAAGAGCAAGGAAGGGTCCTGAGGGATTAAGACCATATGACCAGATCACAAGAGAAGCACATGGCTCAGTGAGCTTGCTTACATTTCAAACGGTAACTTTTTGGTTGCAAGACTGGTAAAAGTCATTTGTTCAGAGTGTGTCCATATTGTAAAAGTCATTCCACACCCAGGAGCTCATCTGGCAAGCCAGTCCGTGAAAATGGTGAACTTTAGGGTCTCCTCAGTGAGAGACCCTATCTTAAGGGAAGAAGACAGAGAGGACATCTGACATCCTCCTCTGGCCTCAGTGAGACACACATACTTGCGTGTGCACACACACACACATGCACACGCACATAATTTTTAAAAAATTTTAAAGGAGTCAGTGAAATGTTCAACAGGTAATTGCACTTGCTGCCAGTTCAATCCCTGGAGCCCACGTGGTAAAGGTGAGAACTCCTGGTTATTCTCTGACCTCCACATGTACATCATGGCATATGTGCACCCACCCACATACACACATACAAACACACGCAAATGGATAAATAAGCATACTTTTTAATTAAAAAATAAATACATAGTGCATTAATATTAAGAATAAATAAGGAAGCCATGCATGGTGGTTTATGCCTATAATCCTAACACGTGGAAAGTTGAGACAGGAAGATCAAAAGTTCAAAGTCATCTAAAAAAACAACAGAAACAAAGATATATATATATATATACCATATAATCATATTTATATAATGTACAAAACTATATATACAATATATGATAGCATAAATATTAATCAGTATGTTTTATATATTCTACATATAAATATAGACAAATACACTTATGTGAGCCTTATATATATAGATCAATAGATCAGCTATTGTATGACAAACCCAGTATGTATAAATATCTAATTATTTGTGTAAGTACATTAAATATAGCTAGTGGGCCTATTACTGTTGCTCAGAGATAAAGGAGGCACTCCACTGAGCTCTGTGGTGAAGTGTTCTTAATCCTATAGCTCTCCCTTAGGCTCTAAACTTACCTAAAGCAAGGCTGGCTCTAAACATGTTCAGTATGTACATTTGATTACAAACTACTGTTATTTTGTTTGTTTTGTTTTAAAATTTTTTATGTATATGAGTATTTTGACTGTATGTGCACCTGTGTGTACAATGTCTGTGAAGGCCAAAAGAGAACATCAAATTCCTTGGAACTGGAGTTACAGACAGGTGTTAGCTACCATGTGGGTGCTGCGAAGCAAATCTGAGTCCTTTTCAAGAGCAGCCAGTGCTCTTAACCCATCTCTCTAGCCCCGGTTCTATTACTCTTGAGAAATAGAAAGCCAAGCCAGGTGTGGTGGCACATGACCGTGGATGGCAGAGGAAGGAGGATAAGGAGTTCAGGGTCAGCCTTAGCTACATGAGACCCTGTCTGAAAACAACAACAATGGAAGGGAGGAAGGAGGAAGGAAGGAAGGAAGGAAGGAAGGAAGGAAGGAAGGAAGGAAGGCAGGAAGGAAGGGGAAAAAGAAAAAGCAGAAATCCAGTGTCCCATTCCTAGCAACATCTGAGTACCTTGGCTACTCTGCCCCCTGAGGAAACCAAGGGACATACACACAGAGGACAGTGGACAAGTGCATGACCTGTTATTAGCTGTGACTTTGGCCTGGAAAGCCTATCTGGTCTCCCGCTGGAGGCAGGGCTGGTCTGGGTGTGCAGCTGTGGGTCCTCCTCTGATTTGCTGGCTGACCTCTGCTGTGATCAAGTTGGAGGTATGTGTGAGGCTGCTCTATGGAGAAGGCTGGAGCCAGCTTAACATGTCACAAGAGAAAAAGCCTTGTGGAAAAGGGAGAAGGCAGAACAGAAGACAGAGGCTGCTGACAGGGCCCTAGGATGTGAGCTTTTGCCCTAGTGTGCTTCTACTTGAGACAGAGCTCACACTATAGTGATAAAATGGCAAATGCCAACTCTATTTTGTGCTGACTGAATCCACAGACCTTTGCCCTTAGATATGAAAGTAAAGGCGGCCTAACGAGTTCCTAGAGAACTCAGGATGTCTTAGTAAACAGGCTTTGTAAGGTATATGCCCTGCACCTCCACTCATTTCACTTTGGTTCCAAGGAAAGTGAGTCAAAAAGTAGCAGAGAAATGGGTGCCTCTGACAGTAGCAGAGATCAAATGGGCCATATCTTGGCCACTAAGTTGAATGCTTAGTGGAGGCCTGTGAGAGGAGCATTGTGATTAAGTTAGGATGCTAAGTATTTCTTGCCCACTGCTAACTTGTTTTTAAAGACTTATTTTATTTTAAATTATGAATATATGTGTGTGTCTATGTGTGTGTATTTGAAAGTGTGAGTACAGATTCACTCAGAGGCCAGAAGAGGGTACCAGATCCCCTGGAGCTGGAGTTACAGACAATTGTGAGCTGCCTGACATGGGTGCTGGGAACAAAACTCAGGTCCTCTGCAAGAGCAGTGAGTGCTCTTAACCACTGAGCCTTCTCTCTAGCCCACATCCCCCCATACGGTCTTCAAAGCCTTCAGCAGGGTTCTGTGAAATGACATTTCACTCACCTTTGGCATCCTGTAGCCCCTGCTTAGAACAAAGTTCTTAAAGGCAACTGTTCCATGAAGTTCTGCAAGTAACTCGTCCTGAAAGAGCAGTTTAAAAGAACACATAAAGAAACTGGTCAGAAGCTATATGTGAAGACCTCAGTGTGACTGCTTCCTTCTCACTTTTGAATATGCACATTCAATAAAGTTCATTAGTTGAGAAATATGAAGGCTTTCACAGGCACCTGACTGTCTCCCTGTCCACCTTTTCCTTATCATTGTATGAAGGATAAGCAACACATTTTACCAACTAGACAACTTTTGACTTAGGATACCTAGAACCTAACCTGAGACTAACATATCTACAAATTATAGATCTTAAATTTTTTTACATTTATTTATGTGCCTGCACATATCACAGCAAGCAAGTGGAAGTCAGAGGACAACTTGTAGGAGTTGTTTTTCTCCTACCATGTGAGTTCTGGGGATCGAACTGAGGTCATCAGACTTGGCAGCAAGCACCTTTACTCAATGAGTCATCTTACCTACCCCATAATTTATAGACCTTAATTCCAAAGGGCACAACAATCAAAACAGACTTGATTTAGTCCTCAAATCCTCAATATTCAAGGATACTTTTCATTTTTCTTTACATTCATTTGTAAAAATTCAAAGTTTACATGATTATAATTCAATACTTTAATACCATTTTCATCTTCCTAACCCAATCAGCTAAGGACAGTGAAAACTCTTGAGTTGCCTGTAAGACTATTGTCTTTTCATAGTGGCTGTCCCCTACTAATACACTACTGCAGTGGCACCATTTACAGTGCACAGTCTAAATCATCCATCAGGTATTACAAAAGTGTGATTTATAAAAATTACTGTAGGCTGGGCATGATGGGTACAGGCCTATAATCCCAGCACTTGTGAGGCTGAAGCAGGAAAATCATGAGTTCCAGGACAACCTGACCTACATAGCAAAACCAAGTCTCAAAAAAACATTACTGGGACTGAAGCAACGGTTCAATAATTAAGAGCACTGGCCAATCTTGCAGAGGATCCAGGGTGGGTTCCCAACACCCATATGATTGCTAACAACCTTCCTTAATTCCAATTCCAAGGGATCTGACATCTTCTTCTAGCCTCCACGGGCATTGCATGCACATAGTGGACTTACCTACACATAGGCGAAACACTCGGACACATAAAAATAAATACAATTTTTAATTGTCATAGAACAATTCTATTGTTTTGAATCTTTCCCGTGTCTAAATCTCATGATGAATCATTTTTACTTTAATAGTTATATCAACCATTATCCCTAAATATAAATCACACTATTCCTCATTAGTTGATTATAAGCACTCTGACAAACACCTTAAATAGCTTTTACCATCAAAATAAAATATTTTGGAAATTGTTGTTATTCTTCCTTTTTGAAAGGAGCAGGGACTTGCTTAGTAGCACAGGCTAGCTTCAAACTCCTGGAAAGCTGTTTAAACTGTTAAGAATTAGTCTTTTTAAAATAATATTTTTATTGTTTATTATTATTATTATTATTTGTCTTTTTGAGACAGGGTCTCCCTGTAGTCCCAGCTGACATGAACTCACTATATATACCAGGCTGGCCTTGAACTCACTGAGATCCGCCTGCCTCTGCCTCCCGAGTGCTGGGACTAAAGGCATGCACCACCACATCCAGCTGTATTTATTATTTTTCTTTTATGTGTATGATTGTATTGTCTGCATGTGTGTAAGTATACCCATGTTGTACAATGCCCACGGGGTCAGAAGAGAGTGTTGAATTCCCCTGGAACTGGAGTTATGGATGGTTGTTAGGCACCATGTGGGTGCTGAGAATCAAACCTGGGTCCTCTGCAAGAGCAGCCAGTGCTCTTAACCCCCGAGCCATCTCTCCAGCCCCTTAAGAATTAGTCTTTAGGGGACTGGGGAGATGGCTAAGTCTGCAAAGTGCATGCTGCATAAGCATGAGTATCTGAGATCAGATCCTCAAAATCCAAATAAAAATGTATGTGTGGGTGACCCATTTCTGTCACCTCAGTGTTGGAGGTTGGAGACAGGTTGATTCCTGAAGTTCATTGACAGCCAGCCTAAGCTGAACTTAGCTTCAAGTTCAGTGAAGGACCCTGCCTCAAACAAGAATGGTGGAGAGCAATGGAGGAAAGGCCCCCGACATCGACCTTGGGCCTCCGCATGCATGTACATGTACACACAGCCACATTAACAAGTATACACTGTGTATACATACACATACATACACACTAAAAAGAAAAAACAGTCTCTTATTTAGAATATTAATTTTAAAACATAAGCTTAAAAAAGAATGCCTTAAAATATATATTTGGGGGGGAGAGCATGAGACAGGGTCTCTCTCACTAGGTAGCCCTTGCTGGCCTGGAGCTCACAGATATTCATCTATCTCCCAAGTGCTGGAATTAAAGACATACACCACCATGCCTAGCCTAAAAATATTTTTTAAGGGGATGGAGAGATGGCTCAGAGGTTAAGAGCACTTGCTGCTCTTGCAGAGGATCCAGGTTCAGTTCCTAGCACCCACACAGTGGTTAACAATCATCTGTAACTCCAGTTCCAGGGGATCTGACACCCTTCTCTGACCTCTGTGAGCAATGCACAAATATGGTGCACTTACATACGTGCTAGCAAAACACATATATGCATAAAATAAAATTAATTTTTTAAAAATTAAAAAATAAATTTAAAGCTGGGCCTGATGGCACAGGCCTATAATACTGGCATTTGAGAGCCTGGGGCAGAAAAACCAGGAGTCTAAGGTGATCCTTGACTACATAGCAACCTGAGGTCAACCTGGACTACATAAGACCCTGCCTTGAAAAACAAAAATAAGTTCATCCCTGAGAGGTCCAGCCTGGGCTGCATAATGACACCTGGCCTTAAACAAAACAACACAAACAAAAATAAACACACAAATTAGAATATGTTTTAAAGAAAACTCCTAGATGCCCTAAAGAAAAAGTTTGTAAGTATTGTTTTAAAATATTTAATTCACTGCAAAATTTTGTTAGTTTAAAAGTACTAGAATAATCTTATGAATTGAATTTTCATAAATGTAAGCAGTTCCAAAAAAACATGCACTCAGAAATTCTGCTAAATAGTATTCCTATTATTTTGAAGCATATTAAAACATGCTGTACTCATAAATTTGTGTCATACCCACTACTGGAAACGTTTCTATACATGCAAACTTGAAAAGAGAAAAAGGACCACCATTCCTGCCTCAGCTTTCCAAACTACAGCAGCAAACTGTGGGTGATTACTGATGAAGGATCAGCCATATCTGTACATTTAAGGTGTTTTCAGACCCGTTATCTGAAAACACTTTGCCTGAAAACACTTTGGTCTTCTGTAAAAGAGAAGAGGTTCCCAAATCTGCTCGTCAGATTCCTGTGACGTGGAATATTTCTGAATTTCCAGAATTAAGGTAACTACCTCTTTCCCATAGATCTGTGTACACTGGAGGCAGGCAGGCACAGAGCTTATCTTCAGTAAGGCGGGAACACATCTTTCCTGTGTGAATTTATTCCTTTGTCATCTCAAAGTGTTTCACTTTTGTCCTCTCTCAGAAAGATTCTTTGACTACTGAATTGTATAAAATTGTTTTGAATTCTTTGATGTTCATCCCTTGCTGATAGGAAACAAGCCCTACTGGAACCCCCAAAGCCCCCATGGCATCATACCTGTTCTGAGCCCTGAGCGGGTTCTACTGGGTCAACTGCTTTTTGGGCATTTATCCATGGAATTATTTAAATGGTGGGAGTGCTGTGAGTGGCGGCTCATCTTTAGAGACACCATGCTTACCAGGAAGCCAGATTTCAAGTCTTGCTTATTATACGTTCCCCACAGCTCATCCTGCCTTTCTCATTGCTGAATCTGATGTGCAAGCCGTAAGACTCTGGAATCTCTGTATCATACCACAAGGTGATCATCCTGGGCTCAGATGACCCAATCTCAGCACACGTACGTACCTGCTCCTGAAGCTGCTGTTTGAAATCCTCATCTTGAGCTCTATGAGAGAGCTTGGGGTCCATCAAAGGTTCATCAACCCTTTGACTTTTCCACAAGTTGGTGTTCAGATACCAGGCGCCATACCTCATCTTCACCCTCTTTGGTTTATAAGGATTCTAGAGAAAGTAACATAATTCCAAGGTTGTTAGTTGTAGTTTTTAATTTGGTTGGTCATTTCAATAATTCCAAGGCTCAGCTTATAAAAGCTGTGTCCCATCTTTCAATTTATAGATTGTCCTTGCCAAAGTATTTTACAAACTTTCAGTATGCTTTGATTTTACAAAAAAAAGTACGAGGGGCTAGAGAGATGGCTCAGCGGTTAAGAGCACTGTTTGCTCTTACAGAGGACCCGGTTTGAATCCCAGCACTAACAACTGTCTTTAACTCCAGTTCCAGGGGATCCAATACCCTCTTCTGCCCTCCTCGGGCATTGCCCAACATGGGTGCGCTTACATGTATGCAGGCATAACATTTATGCACACAAAACAAAATTAATAAAAAAAATTAAAAACAAGTACAAAACATTCATAATTGAGAAAATAATGCAATGCTTAAGAACATGGCCTTTGGATATTGACAGACCAGCTAAAATCCAGCCTTCCTCCACTCAGAAGCTGAGTCCACTTTATTGCCACTTAAATTCTTTATCAAAAATGGAGAGAACAATAGTATGCAACGCCAGAGGAATATTGTTATGATAGGAAATAATACATGCAAAGCAGCTAGAAATCAGGAAAAAATCATATTTCACCCCTGGGTAATAATCTTGAACAAGACTCACTCAACCAAAACATTGTTATTAAACTTACTAGACTCAGCACTATGTTCAGTCTTGGAAGCGCTGTGCTATTTTTGATCAAAGAGCTACCTAACCCTAACCTTTTGCCTCTTTGATGGAGAGAGAGAAAGAGAGAAGATGAGATCTCCCTTCTCTTTCTGCCAATCCACAGGCATGCACTAAGGATAGAAAGAGAACTTCAAACTGATTAAAAGCCTCATACTATAGATACAACACACACACACACACACACACAAAAAAAAAAAACACACACACACACTGTCTTATCACATATAAGGGTTTAACTCTTGGTCAGGACAAAGAAACACAAGACCACAGTTCTGCTTCTTCTCATATTTATTTTTTTAAGATTTATTATTAAATGATGTGTGTCTGGTATGTCTGTGTGCAAGTATGTGCACATGAGAGCAGGTGTCTGAGGAAGCCATAAGCCTCAGATCCCATAGAGCTGGAGTTACAGGCAGTTTGAGCTGCCTGATAACGGGCACTGGGAACCAAACTTGGATTCTCTGGAAGACCAGCAAGTGTTCTTAACTTCTGAACCATTTCTCCAGCTCCTTCCCCCTTATATTTAGACTACATAGTGGAATGTGTATAGAATTCTGGAGTTAAACAGTCTGTCTAAAACATCTAATATAACAGTCAATGGGGGGACAGTCCTTTACAGAGCTAGACTCAGCACACTCTTCCAAGCATACTGGCCTCCTTCCTCTGTGTAGAACAACCCCCTCACACCCCTGACTGTGTGCCTCATACACTTCCTTTCTGAACCTTTTTAAAATTTTTATTATTTTTATTTTATTTCATGTGTATGAGTACATTGCCTGTATGTATGTAAGTACATAGGTGTTATGCAGTGCCCACAGAGGTCAGAAGAAGGTGTCAGATCCCCTGGAACAAGTTACAAATGGTTGTTAGCTGCCATGTGGGTACTGGGAACTGAACCTGGGCCCTCTGCACAAGCAGCCAGTGCTCCTAGCGACTGAGCCATGTCTCCAGTCCCCCTTTCTTGGCCTTCTTTATGCCATCTTTCCATGGCATCTTCTCCAACCACCCAATCTAAAATCTGCAATCTTTAATATACTCTTGGTCTTTGTTTCTTGCCTCATTTTCTTACTAGCACTAATCACTGTTTAATGTGTTCTATTTTTATTCTTAGTCCACATGACTTTCACCCTCTAAAATGTAAGTTTCAGAGGTCATTCTCTACTGTATTTTCCTGGCATTTAGAACACGTAGGGCGTGACAGTGCTCTGTAAATATTTGTTGAATTACAGTGCAGTTTCTTAAACTTTGGCACTATTGACATTTAGGATTCAATGGTTCTTTGCTGGGAGAGGTAACTGATCTACTGATGGTGGGATATTTAACAGCATTCCTGATCTCTACCTACGAGATGTCTGTGGCACCCTCTGAGCTATGACAACTAAAAGTCCACCTTCAAGCATTGCCAAATATCCTTGGAAGAAGGGGAAGTGGGAAAAATCTCCCTCAGTGGAGAATTGCTGAATTAAACCTATAAAGAGAGACTGGGAGAAAGAGGGGGAAGGAGAGGGAAAGAAATGGAACCCACACTATTTCCACAATGAAGAACTCAAGTTGTTAACTTACTAGTAATTGTTCAAGACCCAGCATAATCATAATGTCTTCTCTGAGCCTTTATCAAAACCGCCCTCACCCTGCACTTGCTGAATCGATTACTTCTTCCATGTGTACACACATGATGTCATTCAGTGAAGTTAATCATTTGCCTGTTGACTTCACTAAACTATAAATTCCTTAATGTAGGAAGTAGTTCTCCATTTTTGTGCCATTTGTTCCCAAACTTTTGGACATATAGATGCTCAGAAATGTCTGTTGAGTGAATGAATATAAATGCAGATAGATGAATTGATATAAAGTGAAGAGGGCACAAAGCTCTATGAGAGATGAGAACTCAAAATACAGTGATGTCAACCAAAGGACCTAGAAAAAAAATTCCACAGCAGCATATGTCCACATGTAAAGAAGGACAGAGATCCAAATAGGGAACAGGGGGACTTCGGACAGAAAGAATACTGTGAGCAAAGCTAAGGCGGCACAAAACCTCAGAGTTTTAAAGAAGAGCATCAGTTGTGACAACATGCACATGACCTCAGCAAGCTCAAGCCAAACAAAATCCAAGCAAGTGTGCAGAGGAAAGAAGCCCCAGCCCTAGTTGAGGAATTACTGGCAATTGGTCACTGCTAAGAGAGGGAAAGTCAGTTTTCTTTCTTTTTAAAAAATATTTTATTTATTTTTATTTTGTGTATATGAGTGTTTTGCCTGCATGTGTGTGGGTGCACCTTGTGCATGCAATGCCTGTGGAGAGGGCATCAGATCCCCTGGAACTGGAGTTAAGGAAAGTTGTTAGCTGCCATGTGGGTTCTGGGAATCGAATCCTGGTCTTCTACAACAGCACCAGTGCTCTTAACCAGTGAGCCATCTCTCCAAGCTGAGAGTCAGTTTTCCTTAAGGGTGTGATACTGGGTGGGTGACCAAGCTCCAGGGGATGGACCCACACTGAAGAGCATTTGGGAAAACAAATGAAACTCAAAATGCCTTTTAAAAAATAACAGAGGACATGAAATCAGGAGGGGCTAGTAAATTGGGGACAGAGATGGGGGAAAGGATCCGAATACAATCAATACACATTGAATGAAATTCCCAAAAGAATCAATAAAAAATGTTTTAAAAGGGCAGAGTATAGCAGTGTGACAACTCTATGTGGAATGGAAAAATAAAGATAGGAACTTGCATGTCCAGATATGGACTGAATTTACCCTCCCACCTACCACATTTGAAAAACAGAAGGAAAAAAGAAAAGAAAATCAGTGGTTTACAACACACTGGACCTCAGTAACAAAGGACCAGGATCCTCAAGAGAAAAGCCACAAACAAAATAAGTGCCATAATTGCCACCAGCTGACTGTCAGGAAAGAGTTTCCAGGACACGCAGAGCGAGGAGGAGCCTAGAAGTAACCCGTGGGACTCTGAATCGAGGAGACAGAAAAACTAAGAGTCCAGGGAGACCAAGGCAGCTAAGTTCCCGGTGCAGAGCAACAGAAAAAGAGATGCACAGAGAAATTATTCCAAAGGCTTAAAGGATTCCTCTGTGCACATGTGCATGGGAAGCCACCCACGGTCAAGAAAACAACCAGCCAAAACGCCTGGAGAAGCACCTGGTAGTCCCACCGGGCCAGAGCCCTCTTCCCCCTGGACAACATGAAGGGTCAAGGACTCCAGGAAGAATACACTTGAGGGTCTTGTTCAGTAGCATGAAATAATTAGTCCTAGACTGAACATAACTTTGCTCTTCCCAATAAATATTAAATGCCAGACTCAAAAGGACTAGACATCTCCAAATAGCTTGATTATATCCCAGAACAAATTTCAAAAATATTTATAAAAATGTAAAATACCTACCACACTCAGTAAGGAATAATTCACAATGCCTAGCATCCACTCATGAAGAAATACAGGAAGACATGGTCCACAATGAGGACAAAAGTTGGTTACTGGGAATTGGGGGTTGGAGAGATGGCTCTGGAGTTAAGAGCACTGGCTGCTCTTGCAAAGAACCTGGGTTCAGTTCCCAGCACACACAGGGCAGCTAACAACCATCCATAATTCCAATTCCAGGGAATCTGATGCTCTCTTGTAGTCTCTGTGGGCATTACACACATGTGGTGCATTTACATGCATGCAGGTAAAAACGCTCATACAAATAAATTTAAAATCAATTAAGTTCTGAAAAATTTATATATAAAAAAGCCTGTTACTGGGAATTGACCCAGAACAGGTATAGGAGTTATGATGAGCATGCAAGGATATCAAAGCAGTTGCTGAAACTACATTTCATGTTTAAAAAGATTAAGTAGAGACATGGAAGACAGACCCAAACAGACTTCTAGAAGTGAAGATTATAATTAGGAGACAAAAACATGCAAACATTTCAGAAAAAAGATGACAGAACTTAAAGACATTTTAGTAGACAAACAGGAAGCAAAGGGAAAACAGCTGAACAGAGCAGCAGAACGCTCCAAGCAGCCTCCTTAACATGTACTAGGACAGGGAGAGGGTTGAGAAACAGAAACAAATCTGAAGAACTAACCATCAAAAGTTTTCCAAATTTTATGGAAGCAGATTGTATACATGTATGAAAATGTCATGAAGAAATCCATTCTTTTATACAAGTAATATATACTAACAAATTTTAAAAAGCAAAACATCTAATTTTATTAAAAATATAAGCCCATAGGTTAAACGAGGCTAAATGAACCCCAAGCACAAGAAACATGAAAATATATAATATACATATATTATATATAACCAGGTTCCTCATCAGAAACAATGCAGTGAAGGTAGTAGAACCACAAATTTTAGTACTGAAGTAAGAACAGAAGCCATGAACCAGGAACTCGATAATCACAAAATACTGCATGTGCACGTACGTGTTGTGTGTGTGTGTGGGGGGGTTGTATAGATATGTTGTCTGTTGTATGCTGTGTTATGTGTGTGTTATATGTGTGTTGTGCATGTTGTATATGTATTAATTTTTTGTTCTGTGTGTTCTGTGTGTTGTGTGCTTGGGATCAAACCTGGGTCTTCTGCAAGAACAGCTAGTGCTCTTAAGCACTGAACCATCTCTCCAGCTCCGTCTTCACTTTTAAAAAGTATTTTGTGGTTAGGCATGGTGGTGCACGCCTTTAATCTCAGTATTTAGGAGGCAGAGGCAGGAGGATCTCTGTTTGTTGAGGTCAGGCTGATCTACGTAGAGAGTTCCAGGCCACCTGGGGCTACAGGGAGACACTGTCTGATATGGTGGAGGCTTGGGAGATAGCTCAGTGGGTAAAGTGCTGACTCTTGTGGTATGTGTTTTGTGTGTGTTGTGTGTGTTACATGTGTCTTGTGTGTGTTCTATATGTGTGTGGTGTGTATGTGTGGTGTGTGTGTATATGGTGGTGTGTGATGTGGATGAGTATTGTATGTTATTTGTGTGCTGTGTGTTGTATGTGTTTTTGTGTAGAGTGCGTGTGTGTGTGTGTGTGTGTGTGTGTACCTGTTTGTGAGTGTGTGGAAGCCTGAGGTCGATGCCCAATGTCTTTCTCTATTGCTATCTATCTTTTTCCCTTGAGACAGGGTCTCTCACTGAACCTGGAGCTTAGCAGTTAAGAGCACTAGCTGTTCTTGCAAAAGGCCCAGGTTCAATTCCCAGCACCCTGATGGCAGCTAACAACTGTCCATAACTCCAGTTTCAATGGATCCAATGCGCTCTCTTCTGGCCTCCACGGGTATTGCACACATGAGGTACACTTACGTGTATGCAGGCAAAACACTCATAAAATAAAAAGAATTTTCTAAAGTAAAAACAGAATAAGGATATTTTCATTCAGAGATATAAAAGCTGAAAGAGTTTGTCATCAGCAGATCTGCACTGTGATGTTTGTAGGAGTGTGGAGGATTGCCATAAATTCAAGGCCATCCTAGGCTATATAGATCATACCAGGACATTCAGTGCTACAAAGAAAGACTGTTTTTATTTTACCCACTGATCTTTCTTCCTGGATCGAAACAGGGTCTTTTGGAGAGATGGCTCAGTGATTAAGAGCATTGGCTGCTCTTGCAGAGGACTGGGGTTTGAATCCCAGCATTCACATGGCAGCTAACAACCATCAGTAACTCCAGTTCCATGGAATCCAACACCCTCTTCTGGCCTCTGTGGGCATTGCATACACAGGTACACATACATACAGGCAAAATATTCAAACATATAAAATAAAAATAAATAAAAATTTTTAGAAAGGGACTGGAGGAAGGGCTCAGCAGTTAAGAGTACTGATTACTCTTGTAGAGGACCCAGATTCAATTCCCAGCACCCACATGGTGGCTAGTAATTGTCCATAACTCCAATTCCAGGGGATCCGACACACTCTTCTGACCTCCGTGAGCATTGCACAACATAGGTACCCTTACATACATGCAGGCAATACATTCATACATGTAAAAAAACAAACAAAATTTAAAAAGTATAAGATCAAGAATGCAGGTGTGTGGTCAATATAACTCAGATAAAAATTCAAGAGTTCTTTGGGCATAAAATTAATAATGTTCACAATCATTAGTACATTTGTCTTGCTCATAAATAATAACCATTCATTAATATTTCTACTGGCTGTTACAGTTTCAACATATAAAACACATAAAAAGATTGTCTCTGAAAATGGCTAGTCAGATATTAACAATTTTGAATGATATACCTTCTTTGTATGAATCACTTTTGTAGATATTATATATTCATTCATTTATCAAATGTATTAAATATGATCATATTCTGAGAGGTCTACTTTTAAAAGCCAATGCCCCTAGAATACCAGAATTCAATAACATTTAAGACTTTAAAATAGCCTAATTTTGGCCGGGCGTGGTGGCGCACACCTTTAATCCCAGCACTCAGGAGGCAGAGGCAGGCAGATCTCTGGGAGTTCGAGGCCAGTCTGGTCACCATAGCGAATCCAGGCCAGCTGGGGCTACAGGGAGACCCTGTCTCAAAACGACCAAAAAAAAAAAAAAATGCCTAATTTTGAGATTTTTCAGTCTGCTGTCCTGCAGTCACCTGTTGTTTCTGCAGACTTCGCCCATGCTCCAGTTTCTGGGAGAATTCTGCCTCTTGCAGTTTACCCAGCCCCACACTCTTCTTTAGCTCCCAAGGAACCTGGTTTAGCCTCATCACACGGAGCACGTCACAACTGTGTCTGGTCTGATAGTCAATGTCAAACTGCTGCAGGATGAACTCCTCATCAATCTTGGAACTTCCCTGCAAGAACACCACAGTGCATGAATCAAGGACAGCTAAGTTATGTTTTATTCATTTATTTACTGTGTGCGTGTACATGCACACACGCATGCATGCCACATGTGGAGATTAGAGGACAACTTGTGGGAGCTGGCTTTCTCCTTTCATCATGAGGTTCTGGCAACGGAACTTGGGTCATCAGGCTTGGGGACCGGTGTCTTTATCCAATAATCCATCTCACTGGCCCTCAGTTTGGTTCATTCTTATAATCCTCACCCAAGTTTTCCACAAGACCATCCTCTCCTCTCCAGTGGCAAGTTCTTTTCCGTTCGCAAACTGTTGGGCGGAGCCTCAGCCAGCCTCCTTGATCTAATCAGACTGCACCAAGCTTTCTCAACACAGCCTGTCGTGATGAAAGCGTTGCTACCAGCAATGACTAAGTTTTAGGGGTGTTAATGTGCATCACTGTTTCAGGGCTTCCTCCTCAGTACCAGAGATAGCATTTGCCTCTAACTTCTTTAAGGAGAACTGAAGGGGTTTTATTTGTTTGGTTTGTTTACCTGCTGCAGCTGTTTTGTCTCTTGTTTACCTTTCCGTGCCCTGCACACTTGTGAATGAAGTTTGGTGAGTTTTTCCTGTCTGTGATAGTTTCTTTTATCTTGTCAGAGAGGATATGGGTGGCAGATGGGGACTAGGGCTGGTACTCAGGGATCTTGGGCAGACTGGCAGGGATTTAGCTCACACCTGCAAATTGGGTTTTGGGGTCGGAGAGGAGCTAGAGGGAGGCTGGAGGTGACACTAGGCCACTTCTTCCAAAAGTCAGGATACAGGGCCAGCAATTGCTCACTAGGTAAAATCTCTTGCCCCACAAGCCTGATGACCTGAGTTTGATTTCCTGAAGCCATTTCCTGAACTCGCAAAAAGGTAGAAGCAGAGAATGAGTTCTACAAGGTTGTCCTCTGTGGAGAACACGATGCTCACTGGGGCATGTGCAAAAACATGCACACACAAGCACACACACACACGCGCACACACACACACACACACACACACACACACACACACACACACACACACGCACACACACACATACACAATAGTAACGCTTTCAAAGTCAAGAAACAGGGCCTAGAGAGGCAGCTCAGAAGTTAAGGGCACTGGCTGCTCTTCCAGAGGCCCTGAGGTTCAGTTCCCAGCACCCACATGGTGACTAACAATCCTCCATAACTCCAGTTTCAGGGGATCTGACACCTTTTTCTGGTCTCCATGGGCACTGCATGACACAGGTGCACTTACATTCAGGTAAAACACTCATACACATAAAATGAAAGTCAAGAAACGGATTTCTCTCCCTGTGTAGGGAGGGCTCTTTGCCTCCATCTTTAAGATGTACCCTAGAGGAGTAGTCTCCAGCAGTAGGAATGAGAGAGGCCAAAGGGATAGGAATCAGGCAATCCCATCCAGCCAGATTATGGGCAAGCACTGCTGTGGGTAGCAGGCAGTGAGCATCAACTGCCTTGTCCAACATCCCAGAAGCAACCACCTCTGTCTCAGTCAGCTAACCTGGACACCCCACCTCTTGGGCTCAGGGTTAGACTTGTAGCCAATGAGCACATTCCATCTCCTTAATCATGTTGTTAATTCAGGCACAGGCATGTGGCCCATGCAGTGAGTAAGCCCTGGGCTGGCCCCTGTTGGAAAAGGGTTGCTGTCTTCCCACTAGGTTGCTCACTGGTAGTGTAAGTTTAACCTTAATTAATTCTTGATGACTTTTGGCATCTCTTGGGGAAAACTTGTTGAAAGTAAAGTCAGATGGAAGGATCAGCAAGACATAGGCACTGGGCCTAAAAGCATTTTATCACCTGAATCTAGCTGTGTCTGAAGCTCCTAATACTTTTCTGAGTAATTCTACTTTCTCCCTTAAACTAACTGAATTATATTTGAGTCTGGAGGACAGTCATTTGCTGATGAAATAGGATACATTGAATAGGGCCAGCAAAATGGCTCAGTGGGTAAAGGTGCTTGCCACCAAGGCTGATAGCCTGAGTTCAATCCCTGGGACCCACAGAGTGGAAGGAGAAAACCATCTCCCACAAGTTGTCCTCTGACTTCCACACGCACACTGTGGCATGTGTGTGCATGAATAAATAAATGAATAAATGAATGTAATAAAATAAACATAAAATACATTGACTAAATCTTAATGCAAATTTTAAAAATTGGGGGAGGAATATGAATATTGGAAGGTCTTAAAAGCAAGAAAAGCATCAGGAGTCAAAAACTCTGAAGACTTCAGAACAGGTATTAAATAACGAAAGTTCTTGGAAGAAAGGCAAGGAAAGACCTTGAAAACCAAGGGCGAAGTCTGTTCCCTCAGAAAAGCATTTTGTGTCAAGCACAGCTGCCCCAAATTCACAATCAAGGATGACTGAGAGCCGTGAAACAGAGCAAGAGTGAGAGACAGAAAAGAGTCTTGCTATAAATCGGAAAAGTACATATTAACCACTGCGACAGTACAAGATACCAACATAAGCATCCAAATTAGCACCAAGCTTGCAAGTTTTCCAGAAGTTTCATCTACCTGAAACATTTCCACTGTCATTGACAGGACAGACTGATTCCTTCATGACTCATGATTTGAGAGATTTTACTCTAACACTGTTTTTTAATAGGAGCAACTTTGAACTTAGCTTATTTTTTCAGGACTGGAGATTAAACCCAGGGCCTCACACACTGAGCTTGGTTTTCAGCAGGTAGTATAGGTATTCATACAAAATCACAGAAAAGTCTAAGCAGAGGTACTCAAATTAACTTACAGAGGCAGTAGCCCAGTGGCAAAAGTCACAAACTCCTCTGCGCACATTCTCATGAAGAAGACTGTCTTTACAGAGCAAGTCCACCTCACTAGGCTTTTCTTTATAAAGCCACTGGCCTGAATGTGATTCTGGCATCTTCTTGGGCCTAAAGACAATGAGACAACCAAAGAATTAGATTAGAAGCAATTAATCCAAGCGGATTTTAACTAGCATCCTTAGGAAAGGAGATCAGTCTCTCAAAAGGTCAACGTGAATTATATCTTAATCTTTTAATCTTTCAAAGATCACATTTCCATCATCAGTACCATAAACACAAGCACATAATAACTACACATAACTACAATTTAAAAACACAAGTATTATGCCGATTTTTAAAATTATGAGTACCACTTATTAACATATGTACCAGATAGAGGCCCACAGCACTACACTTAAAGCCAAACTACAGTCTTGACAATGAGAGCAAGCATCCTTGACACGCCCTTTTCTCCCATATCTCTGAAGTCTTGAACTGTTGCCTCTCTGGACTGTTTCAAGCGGTGTCTCGGCATTTTTCCTTCTGGCCTCCCAATCCTTAATCTACTCTTTGTAGGCAAAGTGATCATTTCAAAATATAAATCTGAGCATGTCAAAGGCAATCACTTTCCATCTGACTCACAAAATACCCTTTTTAAAGTTGAAATATAGCCAGATGTTAGATTTAGGAGAGCATAAAAAGGAAGGAGTTTAAAGTTAAGAAATAAGATTCAGACTCAGGCCTGTCACAAGCAAGTAATATGTCTTCTTTATTCTGAGAACACAGCAAAGCACAGAAGTCATCACGGAAAACAAGCATCTTCCCCAAAGAGGGGAGCAGGAGTTCCACTTATATAGGAACTCTGTTGAACAGAGCTATAAGAGTTAGGGCCTAGTGTCCTTGAGGGTCTCTCTCCCAAGATTATTTTCTCAGGCAGGCAAGCTATCTTAGGGCACTAAAAGAGACAGGTTGGCTGCATAAATAGTCTCTATCAGTCCAGGGAGCAACCAGTAGATAAAGCTTGAGCAAGGCCAGGCTTCCAATTTAAGGCCAGTTGCCACTTTAAGGGATTTATGGTTATATTGGTTTCCTAATTAGGCTCATGGCTCTTTACACTTTCTATACACTGGGCATAGTGGTGCATACCTTTAATACCAGCACTCGAGAGGTAGAGGAAGGCAGATCTCTGTGAGATGGAGGACAGCCTGGTCTACATAGTGAGTTTCAGGCCAGCTAGACCTGTCTCAAAAAAAAATTAAAATATAATTCATATACTATTAAGTTAAAAATTTGGGGGCTATAGATATACAAAGCACTAAATCTCATCCACAGCACCACTAAAAGATCTGGGCATGGTGGCACACACCTGTAATCCTAGCACTTGGGAGGTAGAGGCAGGAGGATCAGAAGTTCAAAGACATCCTCAGCTATATAGTGAGTTCAAGGCTAGCCTGGGATGACCGAGACCTTATCTAAAGAAGAAACCAAAATTTTTAACATTTCAAGGGTATATCCAGTAACATATACATTCCCAAAGTTTTGCAAGCAACATGACTATCTTCCTTCAGAACATTTTTATTACCCCCTAAGGAACACCATAGTCATCAACAGTCCCTCCCCTATCCTTCCCATCTCCTCTTCTTAGTAAGTACTAATCTACATTCCATGACTATGGATTTTCCTAGTCTAGATGCCTCATTTGAATGGAACTATATAGTAAAGTTTTTAAATCTCTGGATTCTCTCACTTAGCACAATGTTTTCAAGGATCATCTGTGTTGAAGCATGTACCAGTGGATGAGCAGTATTCCATTGTATGGCTATACCATGTCTTGTTACCTACTTACCAGTTGTTGGAATTTGAGTTGCTGCCACTTTTTAGCTATTGGGGATAATATTGTTACATAGATTCATGGACAAGTTTAAGCATCCAGTAGTTCCTTACACTCCAATAGAAAGCTTCAATTTTTAAAAAATTATTTATTACTTTTATGTGTATTGCCTACATGTATGTAAGTGTTGTACAATGCCCACAGAGGTCAAAAGAGGGCATTGGATACCCTGGAACTGGAGTTACAGATGGTTGTTAGCTGCCATGTTGGTGCTGGGAACTGAAACTGGGTCCTCTGGTTAAGAGCCAGTGCTTTTAACTACCAAGTCATCTCTCTAACCCCAAGAGTTTCAATCTTGAGACAGCCTCCAAGACTCTTCATGGCCTGACCCCTCCCTGTGTCTCCAGGTCCTTCTAAAACTAGCCCCTGAATCCCTTGCTTCCTGAGCTCTAACCATTGTAATGTCTCTCTTCATGAGTTTAGCCTGCTTCCTACACACATGGGGCCTTTGTACATGCTGTTCCACCTGACTGCAATGTCTTTCTGATTTCCAAATATGCATTTTTTTTTTTTTTTTTTTTTGAAACAAGGTCTTATGTAGCCCATGTTGATCTTGAACTCCCTATGTAGCAAAGGATGGCCTTGAATTTCTGATCCTCCTGCCTCTACTTCCTAAGTGCTGGGATTACAGGCATATTGCCACCACATCTGACTTATGTAGTGCCAGAGGTTGAACCCAAGATTTCAGGCATGCTTGACAAGCATTCTTACCAAATGAACTATATCTCTAGCCTATGTGTCCCTTCTGAGGGAATCATTCCCACAGGCTATTCCCTGAACCTATCTTTTATGAATATATCCATATATTAACTTATTTTTCCATTCATACAAGAAATATTTATTAGGGGAGGGCCTGATTTGACAAACCTTTAAGCTCAACAACTGGGAGGCAGATGGATCTCTGAGTTCAAAGTGTGCCTGATCTGCATAGTGAGTTCCAGGACAGCCAGGGTTACTTTGTGAGACCCTGTCTCAAATATAAAAAAGATTTATTCAATACCAAATATGTACTGGAGATAAAACCTTAAGAATCAGGATTCAACTGTAAATATAATGAATCCCTCTCCTCACACAGCTTCAGTTGATCAGGATGGACAGATACTCAGACCAAATGAGGCAAACAGACATGCCAGATGCTTATAAGTGATGAAAGAAAAAGGAAATGAGGTTAGAGAGATGAAGAGTGGTGTAGGGGGAATCTTATTTCTACAGAGAGTCTCTCTACGAAAGTGATACCGAACTGAGGTCCAGAAAAGGGAACCATTTAAATAACTCACCCAGCTACCAGCATAAAGGAACAGCATGGCACATACAAAGGCCCTGGTGAGGCGTGTGCTGAGCATGTTCACAACAGTGTGGCTGAGAAGCGTAATGGCAGAACAGAGGCCTGGAGGATGACAGACTGCTCAGGAGGGGCCTGAAGGCAGTGCAAGGACTTTGGACATTAGTCTGAATAAGAAAACAACTGGGGAAGTCTGAGCACAGGAATGACACTGTGTGTTTGAAAGGGTCATTTTAGGTACTGTGTGACAAACAGACTTAAGAGAATGGGGTGAGAGGAGGGAATGGCTCAGCAGGTAAAGGCATTTGCCACTTAGCCTGAAGTTGTCCTTTGACCCCCAAGTGCATACCATAGCATGCCCTCTCCCACTAAAATAAATAAAAATGTAAAACAAAAAATTGAATAATTTTAAAAAGAGAGGAATGGATAGGAAAAATGGCTTAATGGGTGAAGCATTTCCCACACAAGTGTGAATTTGAATCTCTAGAACTACATAAAGTCAGGCACAGCAGCACAAGTCTGCAATCCCAGTGCTCTTAGAGTGAGGTGGGAGGCGGAAACAGGACACTTTCTGGAAGCTCTCAGTCCAGTTAGCGTAACATATACAGCTGCAAACAGGAAGAGGATCTGCCTGGAAAAGGTGGAAGGGGAGGACTGACATCTGAGTTGTCCTCTGACCTCCATGCTCCTCCTCCTCCTCCCCCTCCCCCCCCTCCTCCTTTTCCTCCTCCTCCCTTAAGCTGGTTCTGTCAGGTATTTTGCCCCAGCAACAAGGAAAGAAACTGATACAGTGGCATCGACCTCACTGTGCTCTCAGCCAAGGGGCAAGTTCAGTGGCATGCTGGAGATAGGGCAGTTCAATGGCGCTCTGGCAATGAAGCCTGACTGCTGTGAGATCAAGAGAGAAAAAGAAGCAAGTTTGGATTCCTCCCTCAAGGGTTTTTCCTCAAAGGAAAGCATAGACTGTCTGGTTATGAGGACTTGCTTTCAAGAGGAATGATATTGCTTCATGCTATAGTATGTTCAGAGCGGCCTCTAAAGAGATCAGGTGCTAATCCTTGGAACTTATGTGACTTGACTTGAAAGAGTCTTTGCAAGTGTGATTCAACACATCTGAGGTGGGGAGATTATCCTGGATTATTTTGGTGAGACTTACATGCCCTCACAAGTGTCCTTGAAGGAAAGAGGCAGACAGAGGATGATCACGCTGAGAGCAGGTCATGTGAAGTCAGACCAGAGAGAAACGTGAAGCTGCTGGTCTTGAAGTTTGGAGTGACATGTCCCAAGTCAAAGAACACAAGCAACCACAGAAGCTGGAGGAAGCGAGGGACTGCCTCCCCTTCAGTCTCCGGAGTGGACATGGCCCTGCTGACATCTAATTTCTGCACAGTGATTGTTATGTTGGACCTCAGGCCTTCGGGCTGCTACTAAATGTGAAAACAACATTCCTATTATATTAAGTCATAAAGTTTATGGTAAATTTTCACAGCAACCAAAGAAAACTAATATATATGCTAACAGAAAAGCTCACCATTTTGAAACTATGCATTTATTTTGTGATGTGATAACATATTAATATATTACCTCTTTCAAGTAGGCAAGTTCTTACTTTAGAGATGTTTTTCAGGGTTGACTAAGGAAATTGTTCAAAGTGAAGGACAGATCCTGCATGTATATTTTTATATCACAGATCTATACATATAACACTCCTCTGTGCCACACCCAGGTTATGAGCAACTTGAAAAATAATAGAAAAACAAAGATAAAATCCAAAACATCACCTTTATAACCTTGCAGCAGTCATGTTGGAGGACATGGCTTTAGGTCCAAGAGGGCTTGTTAACTGAAAACCATAAAGCAGCAGACTCTCCTACCCCATTCCCAGCAGGGATGAACCAGAGAGGACTTCCCCTCCAACACAGAGGGCAGGGAGCATGTGGGCTTCCAAGGAGTCCTCTTACTCCCCAGTGGAAAAAAGACAGAGTTTAGTTGAGTTTCTCTCCCCACATTTACCGGGGAGTATACCAAGAACTGTCACAACAGTGTTCTTGTCACCTTGGGTCTCACCCTAACAAACATAATTTAATGCAGTGTGTTCTCTTCAACTCCACCTCCATGAAGGTAACCCATGTGACTGATAGACTTCTTCATAGTCCCCTGCAAACACACTGACCAGTGCCCCACCCACCCCTGTGAACTTTCTGGATACTGTGGCTGGGTTGCTCTCTAGCTCACCCCACTCTTCAGCACCCACCAGTGAGCTCATTCAATTTCAAAAGTAAATATGTAACATACCAAATCTATTTATGTCAAGTATACTTATCATGACTTTTACATTATTAAATAATATGTGAATTAAGGAAACAAGGATGAGATACAAAAGAGAGAGTTTCTACTAAGTCTAATGCTTTGGAAGGTTCCAAAGAAGATAATAATTGTGGGCATGGCTTGTGCAAGAAAGATAAGCAGGATCTCCAAGCAGTAGATTCAAATAAAGTGCTTTATACTAAAATATTAGAAGTAGCCAGCTGTGGTAGCACAAGCCTGTAATCCCAGCATTCTGGAGGTAGAGGCAGGAAGACTGGGAGTTCAAGGCCAGCCTGGGCTATATGAGACCCTGTCTCAAAAGAGAAGAATAGCAAGTATATTATCAACAATTTCCTATGGTACACATATGTGCATGTGATTTATCCAACTAATCACAGGCTCAGTCACAGTCATGTTGAATAAAGGGTTCTGTTATTATAGTCAATTAATCAGGCTTTTTGTAGTCTTCTTGTCAAACGAAAATTAGGTGAACACCCATTTTATGCCATTGCCTGAGAAATCACATCTATTTAAGAAACAGGCACTATCAGAGCAAGACAGAACAAGGACAACTGGTCTTCCTCCTCAGGAACTTAATTACTTTTGCTTCTTTAAAAATATTCTAAATAGCCAAGCATAGGCTTTGTGATCCCAGCCTTGGGAAGTAGAGGCAAGAGGATCAGGAATTCAAGTCATCTTTGCCTACTTAGTGAGTTGGAGACCAGCCTGAATTAAATGAGACCCTGTCTCAAGCAAACAAATAAAATTATCCTGAAGATAAGAAGCTGTGAGAGAGTAACCCCAGAGTGTCCTTCAGGTGATGGATGGAAGCAGTACTCACGGGGACAGTTGAGGACACTTTTCAGAAAGTTTTGTGGGTTCCTTCATTATTTCCCTGGTGTCCTGACAATAAGCCCAGGTATCCTCCAGCTTCCTCTCAGGATCAAGCACTTCCAACACCTGTAATAAGAGCTACAAAGAGAAAACAGCCTTTGAAAGGAGGAAACTGCAGGAAAGGGGCTCCTATTCTACAACAAAGCCAGCCAAATCACCCCTCTGTGTTTCCTTTCTAGACAGTGCTGTTCGTCAAGCCCTGTGCTGAGTACTGTACAGCAGGCAGTCCATAAACTGCCATCACCCAGCCATTGGGTGTATAGGCTCTGTGGTACAGTTCCATCTCCTCTGGACAGAATATGCCTCTGGGCCTACTCCAGCCCCAAAGACCCCACTGGTTACAGTATCTCTGTAGGATTTCTGTGAGGTTTTTTTTATTGCTGGCACCCATCAGCCTCTTATGAATAACAGCATCTACATTCCTCTTTAGAGAACTGCCTTTTGCACTGGGGAGATATCTCAGTAAAGTGCTTGTCTTGCTAGCATGAGGCCTGAATTCAATCCCCAGAACTCCTATAATAAAAGCAGGGTGTGGGTGTGGTGGTGCATGCTTGTAATCTTAGTGCTGGGGAAGCCGAGATTAGTCTACCTGCCCTACCTGTAAATTCCAGGCCAGTGAGCAACACTGTCTCAGTAAAATGATGGAAAGTACCTGAGGAACAACACCTGAGGTTGTCCTCTGGCCTACACATACACACAAATACACACACACACACACACACACACACACACACACACACACACACGAACATACCCCTGCCCCATACACACAAAGAAACACATCACCCTCAACCCCCTTGGTCTGAATTGGCCTAATCTCATCTCCATTCTACAGGCATACCACACCAATCAGAGTCACAGTGACTGGTTTAGAGATACAATAGGCTCATGAATCGGAAGCTAGGCTATGGGATTTTTCTGGGACTACACAAAAAGAAGTGCTCTTTTTCTGTTGGGGCTATGAAGCAACTTAAAGTTGTTGGAAGCCATCTTAGCACCACAAAAAGAGACCCTACCTCCAAACAAAGTCATCACACCTAGCCACCCAGGTGAGGAAATCAGAAATAGAAACAAGAGCCACACTCCCATGCCATGTTCCTGTGTTCTATGAGCTATGTGGAAACATTCCTTTTGTCTGAGACTCAGAGGCTCTGGTTTATAGGAGCCAGGGAGGAAAAACCAGATAGAAAATCATTAGTCAGCAATTGCAACTTTTCTTTTTGTTTTGGGGGTTTGTTTTGTTTCATTTTGTAGACAGAGTCTCCCTGTAGCCCCAGCCATCCTGGAACTCATCCTGGCCTCAAATCACAGAGATACCCCTGCCTCTGCCTCCTAGAGTGCTGGGATTAAAGGCATGTGCCACGCCTGACACAACTGTTCTTATGAAAAGACTGCTCTAGCATGGATCACTTATTCACTCACTCAAGATTCACTGGGAGTCTGCCATCTGCCAGCCATCGGTAGTATACACCAACAGCCACAGATAAAGTTCCTCCCTCATTTCTATTCTAGTGAGAGGACCAGTGAGGCTCAGTACCCTAAGGAGAAACAGCATGGCAAGGGATGGACACGAGTGGCAGGGAAGTGCGATGGGGTACAGGCCTCTGCCTGAAGGAGACACGCGAGGAAAGCGCTGAAAGCAGTGAGCAGGACATCACAGGGCCATCTGAAGGCAGCTGTTCCAGGCACAAGGGCAGAGGCCTACCTGTAAGAGTCTACAAAACCCAGTGGCTGGAGTGGAATCAGAGAAGCCTGGACAGGCTGTGAAGCTGGGGCGGCAGCAGGGCAGAGCAGGGGAAATGGAAACTTAAGGGCTTTGGCTTTACCAGGTAAGCAGGAGCTTTGAGCAGCAGATTACTGTGTAGTCACGGATGGCTGCAGGGGTGGGAGTGGGGAGCTGCTGCCCTTGGGGCCCTGTCTTGACTATTCTATTCTTTAAATCTAACGCAGCCTGGGCTTTAAGACTTAAGTGCTCAACTAAGAAATGCATTTTTTAGGCTGTCTAGCAGACAGGGAAGGTCAAACGAAGGGGATGGTTCCTGGGAAAGCCACTCTGCTCAGTTAAAAGCATGGGCTGCATGTACACTTTAACCTTTGCCTTTCTTGCTGCAGACAGATGTGGTGTCATTTGGAGATATAGAAACAAGAGAAATGTGCTAAGGGTTGTAAAGCTGGCATCAGAAACAGCCTGGGACATAACACCGTGGAGGATTTTCTCCATGGCCTTCGGGTTCTCCTGTCCCTGTCTGTTAGTGGTTCTTAAGGGTCCCTCTTAACCCCAGGCATAAGTGAGATTGAACAATCCCCGCCATTGCTTCCTATAACCCAAAAGTCATAAGGCAAAGCAGACTGAGAGAGCTCGAAGGGACAAAGTCCTGAGTGCCTGCGTTGCACCTTGGTAAGTTGAATGGCTTCACCGGAAACTAGAGGAGCAGCTGTGTCTCCTCAGCAGCACAGGAAGGCTGCTCCGAATCCCGTGAGAACCTTCACCTGGGGGACACCTTCTTTCTTATAAACATGCACCCCAGAGCCCTCCTGAGTATCTTGAGAGAATTATCTTCAGGGCCCTGGGGAAGGTGCTCCCTCAAGCACAGAAAGATCACCTCAGCAGGCAGAGCTTCTTCCAGATGGGGGTAGAGAGCCAGGGGGTGCCTGGCCAGGGCAGCTTCCACATCCTCTAGGAAAGCCTTCCGAGCCTGCTGGGTGGATGAAAGCTTGGACAACAGGGCAGCCCCTTTGGGCAGCTCATTCTGACTCTTCCTGGGGCCAGGCTGGGGGGCTCTGTGATGAATCTGAGGCAGAGAGGCTCTTTTGGGGCCCTGAGTGATCAGACTCTGGCCTGGTGGGCAGCTTTTCCTGAAGTCATCCAGTCCCTCTCTCACAAACACCCAGCGCCGGCTGTTCAGGGAGCCAGGGAACTTCAGCCTGCTGTGCTTTGTGAAACACTTCGGGGGCACGTTCTCTCTGTACCTAGAAGACAACACGCCAGGTCATTCAGAACATGGGACTGAGGAGGGAGGAGGTTGTATTATGGGTAGAGGAAGAGAGATTCACAAGAAGCCTGAATTAATCATGCTCTGCAAGCCCCTGCTTCAGCTTTCTGTGTTCCATTGAATCCCCACAGTCTGCTCCCATCGCTTGTTTAGGCAAAATCACTGACTGGATTGGAATTGCATCTTTTGTTTACATGCCTCTTTGAAGCATCTGAGTTACCCCTTTAAAAAATTGCTTATTTTTATTTTATATATATGAGTGTTTTGCCTGCATGTATGTAAGTGCCTCTGTGTGTGCAATGCCCACAGAGGCCAGAAGAGGACATTGGATTCCCCTGGAACTGGAGTTACAAATAGTTTTTAGCCACCATGTGGGTGCTGGGAACCAAACCTGGGTTCTCCGCAAGAGCAGCTAATGCTCTTAACCACTGAGACATCTCTCCAGTCCCCTGAGTTATCCTTTAATGGCATGTATTCTAAATTTATGTAAAGGTTAGGTGCTTTTCTGTTTCCTGTTCACCATCCTATTTCAAAGTCTCAACTGTGTCATCATGTTTACTAGATTTTTAAATTCCCATTGTCCTAATTTGTTTCTCTGCTGCTGTGATAAAACACTGGCCAGGAACAACTTGGGGTTAAAAAAGGGTTTATTTCAACTTATACATCCAAGGCACAGTTTATCACTGAGGGAAGTCAAGGCAGGAGCTCAGGGTAGTAACCTGGAGGTAGGAACTGAAGCAGAGACCATGGAGGAACACTGCTTACTGGATTGCTTCCCTTGGCTTGCTCAGCTACTTTTCTTCTATGGCCCAGACCCACCTGCCCAGGGATGGTACCACCCACAATAGGCTGGGCCCTTCTATATCAATTAGCAATTAAGAAAATGCCTCACAGACATGGCCATGGGCCAATCCATTGGAGAAAATTCCTTAATTGAGGTTCCCTTTTCCCAGGTGTGTCAAGTTGACAACTACAGGTAACTAGCACATTTGACCCCTTGTCAACTTGATACACAAAATATCCCTATTAAACCATAGCCTTTCCTTTCCTGTCTGTCTGCAAGATCTCATGTTAATATCACAGGATAAAACATAGTACAACTTTAAAAGTCCCATAGTCATTTATGTGTGAATCTAATTCCAACTACTTCCTTTACATTTTAAGAATCCATTCTGTTTATGGAGGGTGCTCACATTGCTGCCCCTCTCAGGGACCCTCTCTATTCAGTAAAAGGAGCACAGTCAGTACAATAGGAGGAACCTGGATCCCAGTGAAAATTTAGCCCTGTGATGGTAATCTTCATTGTAAATTGACAGAATTTGGAATCACCTAGGAGACACACTTCCAGGCGTGTCTTTGAGGACATTTCCAGAGAGTTTAACTGAGGAGGGAAGAGCCATTCTGAATGTGGGTAGCATGCCATGGGCTGAAGTTTTAGACTGAATAAAAAGGAAAAAGGGAAAATACCAGCATTCTTCTTTCTCTGCCTCCTCATCCATTAAGTGTTTATTAGTTACTTTTCTGTGGCTGTGGTAGAATGCCATGACCAAGGCAACTTATAGAAGAAAGAGTTTATTGGCTTACAGAGTTATTTGGCTTACAGTTCCAGAGGAGTAAGAGTCCATCATGGTAGGGAGGCAGGGCAGCATGTGTCAGACATGGTGGTAGGAGCAGGAAGCTGAGAGCTCACATCTTCAACCGCAAACACAAAGCAGAGAGAGACAACTGGGAATTAAGGCTACAGTGCCTAGGGGTTCCATGACCTCCCCAAACAGCACCACTGACTGATCAAGTGTTCATATAGTCATACCTTATGGGGAGGCATTTCTCATTCAAACCACCACAGAGCATGAGGAGTCCCCACTGCAGGACCCCACCACTATGAACTCAGCAGTGCCCTCGCCACAATGAGAGACACTACCCCGTCAAATCATGAGCCAAAATCCTTCCCCCATAAGTTGTTCTGGGTTCAGAATTTGGTCACAGAGATGAGAAAAGTAACTAAGATAGCCCTGAATTAGCTGAATGAATTTGGCACTTTATATAACTTTAGTGAACCTTGATTCCCTCTTCTCAACTCAGGAGGTCAAAGGTAAAATGATAGTTCATGGGCTACATCAAGCCCACAACCTTTATTTAGCATTGTGTGTGTGTGTGTGTGTGTGTGTGTGTGTGTGTGTGTGTGTGTGTGTTTGATACAGGGTCTCACTATGTAGTCCAGGCTGGTCCTGAACTCAAGAATTCTTGGTCTTTGAGGCTGGAGAGATGGTTTATGGCTTAGCTATTAAAAGCACCTGCTGTTAGCCAGGCATGATGGCACATGCCTTTAATTCCAGCAGAGGCAGAGGCAGAGGCAGGCAGATCTCTGTGAAATGGAGGCCAGCCTGGTCTGCATAGTGAATTCCAGGCCAGTTGGAGATACAGGGAGACCCTGTCTCAAAAAGACCAAAAAGGGAACTACAGAGGTGACTCAGCGGTTAAGAACACTGGCTGCTCCTGCAGAGGACCTGGATTCGGTTCCCAGCACCCACATGGCAGCTAACAGTCATCCATAACTCCAGTTCCAGGGGATCTGACACCCTCTTCTGACCTCTGCAGGCACTGCATGACACAGGTGCACTCACCTACAAGCAGGTACTACATTCACATACATAAAATAAAAATAATAAAAAAATGTTTAAATCACATACTGTTCTTCTAGAGGACCTGAGTTCTGTTCCTAGCACCCATGTCAAGCTGCTCACCTGTAACTCCAGCTCCAGGGGATCTGACACCTCTCAGCTCTATGGGCAACTGCACTCACATGCATATACCCATACATGCATAGGCATACACATATACACCTAATTTAAAATGAAATCTTTAAAGAATGCCTGATCTTTCTACTTCAGCTTCCAGAGTGCTAGGGTTATAAACCTGCACCATTCTAATGAGCTTTTTTTTTTTTTCAGACAGGGTCTCCCTGTAGTCTCAGCTGTCCTGGAACTCCAGACTGACCTCGGACTCACAGAGATCCACCTGCCTCTGCCTCCCAAGTGCTAGAATTAAAGGCATGTACCACCATGCCTGGCTCTAATGAGCTTTTTAATAATCACGATACCAGGGCCTGTGAGCTGACTCAGCAGGTAAAGGTATTTGCTACCAATCCTAAGACCTGAGTTTGATACATGGGACCCACATGGTGGAAGTAGAGACCTGACTCCTGCAAGTTGTTCTCTGAATTTCACACTTTCACACAAGTGCTGTGGCATGAGTACACCTGCCTCTGCCTGCCCCCGAATACAAATAATAAATAAATAAATAAATAAATATTTTGAATTTTTTAAAAGAATTATAGTAATTTACATAAATGGAGGCTTTTCTTCATAACAGGCACAGTTTAAGTGTTTATACATATCAGCCTATTTAAATCCCATAATAAAGCTATAAAGTACTCCTATTATTCCTAGTCACAGCTAAATTGATGCACAAAGAAGTTAAAAACAAAACAAACTTGTCAAAAGACTCATAGCTAAGATTTTGTAGAACTTGAATTAGCAAACAGTGCTTAACTGCTACACTGGAGCTTCGAATATATTTTTTAATTTTTCACATGAGTTGTCTGGAATCCCAGAAAATCAGGAGGTTTCTAAGATCTGGATCACCAGGCTCACATTTCCCAGGAGCCACAATCGGCATGATGGCTGCTCACCTCAGTCAAACACACACTCTCTCCTCACCGTCTCCCCTCTCCTTTCCATCTTCTATGCAGCCCTTTCTTCCCCACTAGGCCTCCATTTGCATGGAGCAGTTAGGGCATGCATGAAGATGAGATAGAAGAACAGATGGACACGGGAAGGACAGTGATACAGCTCCAGAATTACCAGACACAACCAATGCCAAAGGCCTGCGGTGGCCAGATACTTTAGTGCTGGTGTCTTTCCCTGAATTCTGCTCTGCCTTCAGCCTTTCTCACCCATAATGGCTCTTTACACCAAATACAATCTTTGCTGTAACCATAGTTACACAACATCTGTAAGAGATTCTGGCCTAGACACTAATGGTTTCTAGAGAGCCCTAGAAACTTCTTGTTTACTCTGTGTATATGCATGTGTGTGTTTGAAGCACTTAGCTGTGCTGTAAAAATCTAGGTGAAAGGGCACAATAAGATGATGACAAAAAGTGGCTCCCTGCCTTTAATAAATGACTCTCCAAATATCTAAAGGCAGAAGAGTGTGGATCCACATCTCGTCTTGGGATCGATGATCATTCAGCATGACCTACCAGCAAGCAACTCTCATATTAAATATTTTCATAAAGCTTACATTCCCCATATTTATAACTAACTTAAACACCTGAGCACTTCCTAAAATCAGAGTAGATAACAAATGTTTCTAAGTATGGCCATATAACTCAAAATGAGGACTGGTTTGTAGCTAGCTCAAGCCTCATAGAATTCTGGAACCAGCAGAATCCCCGAGAGAAATCTAATCCACCTTCCTCATTTTCAGTTCTGAAAGGTGAATGGACCTGGGGGAGGGCTTTCCTCAGTAGGGCTTTCCTACTCTGCCTCTCAGAGTTAAAGTGCTTAACTCGGCATTTTCTTTCTCTTTTCTTTCCTTTCATTACTTTTATTTCTTTATTGAAGTATAGCCTCATATAGCCCAGGCTGGTCTCAAATGGTCTACGTAAATGAGGACAACTTTGAACTTTGAACTTTCAACCTTCTGAATGCTGAGATTACAGGCGTGCCCCATTGTGTCTGGTTTATAGGGTGCTGGGGATTGAACCCAAGGTTTCATGCATGCCAGGCAAGCTCTCTATAAACTGAGCAATATCCCCAGGCCCAACTCACTACATTTTCTTAAGCCTATAAATAACCTTGCTTGACCTATAACATAAAACTAAAAACATTTTTCTCTAAATATTTTCACAGATATTTGTACATAATATCTGGTTAGTTCCCTCTTTAAGAATGCAAAAGAGGAGGCTGGAGAGTTGGCTCAGCCATTGAGAGCACTGGCTGCTCTTGCAGAAGACCCAGGTTTGATTCCCAGCACCCACATGGCAGCTAACAACTGTCTGAAACTCCAGTTCCAGGGGATCCAACACCATTTTCTGACATCTGTGGGCATTACATGAGTGCACTCATATACATGTAGGCAATACACTCATACACATAAAATAAAAATGATAAAATATTTTTCAAAAAATTGCAAAAAGGCCCAGTGTGGTGGTGCACACTTTTAATCCCAGCACTTGGGAGGCAGAGGCAGATGGATCTCAGTGAGTTCGAGGCTAGCCTTGTCTACATAGCAAGTTCCAGGCCAGCTGGGGCTACAGGGAGACCTTTCCTCAAAAATACCAA